TCCATTCTTGTTTTTCAGGCTGCCAGGTAATACATGACAGCACAGGGCTGATGAGGAGGAGCACTGTGGGCCTGGATGATCCTCCCCTTCTCTGAGTTCTCAGGAGCTCAGATTCTGCTGGCTGAGCCCTCCACTTGCAGCGTCTTTGGGGAGCTCATAAATAATGACTTAGAGGAGAAATGATTTAATATTACAAAACGTTTTCAAGATCAACTCAAGGTGCCAGAATATTCAAAAACTGTCAGATATGTCAGGGCAGGTGCTTTGTGAGGGATGTGCTTTGTACCTTTGATGTGACAAACATACTGCAGTAAATTCTCAAACATGCACTTGCTACTGCCTTTTCCAAAGCCCTGCCATCAAGCCATCACCTTTAGATCAGTCATGCTGAGTGAAGAGATACAAAAAGGTCTTTTGCTAGAAATGCTTTTCCTGTTTCATTGGATTGTTTGCAATGGCAGTGATGTGCAGAATGTTCCCCAGATTTGGGGAGGTGGTAGTGGGTGTATTTCATACCACAGCTGGATAAAAAACTTTTCAGGTTAGTGTGTTCCTGTTTTGGAATGAATATTGAAAACGAAATATTTGCAAGGCCCCACTTTTTTTATGGACCATTTTCTGCTGTAGGCTGAATAAGCCATTCTTCAAAGAATCCCACAGATGAAAAACAGAGGCAGAGAGAGAATAAGTGGATTTCCTGTAGATATAAGGAATGAAGCCAGCAGAAGTGCAAGGAGATGAATAGTGCAAGGAGTGTCCTAACCACTGAACTGTCCTTGTCTCCCATGTGCAGTGCAGAATACACAGAAAATTTATCTTTTAATGGATGGCTTTTTGGAATATGTATCTGTACAAAGGCTGATGTTTGGTTAATGATGAATCTTACAAAATGAAGTAGGAAAGACATTAATTTTGATGTGGCAGGAAAGTGCTTTCCTAATGAGATAGCAATTAAATAAGAAGGATAGTTATTAAAAGAAATGGTAAATTTAGTGTTCTCTAGCCCTCCTATCTCAGGGAGTTCTATCTGAGTTCTAGCCATGGTTCTGGGTAAGGAAAAGGAATGTTTCTGTCAAGCTTGAAGTACCACCAGAAAAATATAAAAGAAAAAATGTGTCATAAGAATCATAAAAATATTAAATAATGTCAAATAAATGAAATCCATTTCTAGAAGAGAATAAGAAAGACTGAGAAAAGATACCCAGAAAGCCAGATGACTTTTCTACTTTCTTAATTGGGGTAATTATACTAAAACTGACAGCAAGTATTTCCCTAGTAGAAAAAAAACACCCACAAACCTCAGCCAGCAAAAATACCACTCTGAGCATGAGATCTGTGAAGGTTAAAGGCTTGAGTCTGCCATTAGGAGAGTGCTACTCTTCTCCCAAGGTCAGTCCTTACATATGGAGAAGTAATTTTCATTCTGCTCTCCTCACTGTACAAAGTCAACGCTTACCTTGATTTCAACAGTGCTATATTTGGCAAAGTACTAATATAATTGTGTTTGGTCCCAGTCATGTCCTGTTTGAATGTTAAACTCCTCTGAAGACCAAGCCTTTGTGTGCTGACTCTTGTAGCTTAGGCAATGTATGAAAAGGAGAGCAGAGCAGACCTGCTGGAGCAATCCCTCCAGGAAAACCTGTGCTGCCAGTGCCCACACTATGTGTTTTCTGGGGGTTTTACTTCACACCAGCTTTTGTCTGGATTCCTACTACCATGGGCTGAAAGCACTTTTTTGGGTGTAGCTTCATCTGAAAAAGATGCAGTTTATGCAGTCCCAGGATGCACCAAAGTGTGAGCCAAATACAACATGCAGGCACATAGAGACAACCTCCAACAGATCACACCCTGCATCAGCCCCTCTGTAAACTCTCAAATGCTGATGCCACCTTGGTGTTCCAGCCACCTCTGTGCATATTTTGTTGCATCACACTGGGGACTTCTCCCTCAGGTAAGGCCTCTTAGTGGGACAGAAATAACCTGGCAGTCTGATTCATGGCACCTGAACTGAAACCACCCACTATCTCCTTGCTAATTAGCACAACTTGCAAAGAGGAAAAATGGGATTGTGCAGCCTCAGATCAGAGATTGTGCAGCCCAAGGACCTCTGACTTTCTCATTAGCCAGTAATGGGTGCCTGGGAGAGACTTTAATAATAAGGCAAAGAAGGTGGTACTTCCCCAGAATAATTTCTTAGCTTAAAAAAAATTCACAACTCAAGGATTTGCTAAGCCAGAGGCTTTGTCTTTATATCTAACAGCCTTTGATATGTCTCCTTCGTTTGTGAATTATTTAGCTACTTTTTAGATGGATGTTAATTTTAGGATCTAGTGTTCTGCAGGAGAGAATTTGATATTGACTTCGTGCTGCACAGTTTATTAAGAAAAGAATGGGAATGTTAATAACAGGAGATCAGATGCTGCCTGAGCCCCCATGCTGCCTCTGCTCACATTAATCCTGGAGTCAGGATTTCCTAGCACCCATGGTGCAGGGTCACTGTACCAAAGTTAAGAGTGCCAGTGGCTGCAGAGTCAAGCTGCCCCTTGAGAGATGGGGCTCTGCCCCACTCTCTGTGGGTTTTTTGGTGTGAATGGGAAACTGCCCAAAGCACAGGATGCAGAGTCAAATTGTACCTTCTCTGGATTTTTTCAAGCCAGAAAGGCTTGACTCACAAGATGCTTGGGTATGATCATATTTCTGTGGGAACCAGTGTGCTGAATCAAGACTGTTCAGCTCTTGTGGGAACCAGCCAGAAAGAGCTTCACTCTCCCCTCAAATCCTTCCATTCTAGGCCTGGGATTTTATCAGACTATATTTGTAATCCTACTTGATTTCTCAAATAAACAGTGAAATGCAAACAGTTGGCCAGAGGGAAAACCTTCCAGTTACTGAAGGGGAAAAGAACAGAATATCCAAATGACTCATGGCTCTGTGGGTGAAGTAATGGCTGCATGTCACAGCCTGGGATGTGGGTTTGTGGTGCCACACGGAGTGGATGCACTCAGGTTGTGACATTTGTGAAAATGGCTTTGCTAGGAACTCTCCTGTGATTTCCCAGAGACAAGGTGTTTGTTAAGATATCACTGACTGCTCAGTGGCAATTAACAAGATAGGAAGGACATACACCAGGTGCAACCAGACCCTCCTGTGGACACCAGCTGGGGCAAATACAACAAAACCCTTCTGCTGCTGGAAGAGGTAGGTGCTGCAGGAAGAGCTGCAGATGGCTGTGGCTGAAGGAACTCTGGGGACTCAGTTTTTGAGAGCTGGAGCCACATCCCTGTGAGGTACCTGGTGCCTGTGAAGTTTGGCTTTCCTGGGGCAGGTTATCCAAAGATCTTCTGGATGATCATGCTCTGATGTTTGATGCTCTGATGGTTGATGCCCTTCTCCTTGGTGCCCCCTGCTCCCACTGACTGCTGTTTGCTGGGGGAACTCTCAGGTTTCTGACTCCCTTCTTATTTTTTTCCTCTGATCCACTGCTTACAACAAGACAAAACAAGTAAATGCTAATGCAAGTGAAAGTACAGTGGCCTCTGCAGAGCCTAACTTCTGCCTTACTTGCCACCAATCCCTTGTACCTGCTGGGAACCAAACACTTCTAGGAAGTTGCCAGCAGTTACTCTCTGTCCCATATATGAACAACTTGCAGGTGTGACAAAAATACAGGTTGTTTTATCTGGATCCCCAGTTCTTCCTCTCAGTCTCTCCATTGCAAGATTTCCTTCTTCCAGTCCTTTCCATCCTTTCAGTGCTCTGGCTGCTGCTCTGTGGCTGTGCATGGCAGGAGCAGCTCAGAGGAGCTGCAGGTCAGGACTCTGCTGTGATGATTCCTGCTGGAGGGGAGGTGCCCACAGAGGTGGTGGGCAGTTTTTGGGGAGCCCTCACCCCCCTGAATATATGCACTGCCTGGGAGATACTGCCTTTGCTCTGTGAGTTAGTGGAGGGAGGAATGAGGGTCCACTAAAGGACCAAATCAAATCCCTCTTTAAGGCAGGAGCTGTTGGGGAACATTTTTTTTTTTCTACATCCTACCACTGCTTTCTGCTGCAGAAATACGATGGGATTTGGTTTGTAGCTTGGAAGACAGCAGCAGGGCTTTGCCCGAACCCAGATCTTGGCAGATCAGTTGGCATTGGGAGATCAGCCAACCTTTTTCAGTTTTCTGGGACACTCTGGTTTGCCCATGTGATTAAAATTTACAGTGTTAGATAAACACAGATAAGAATTTATCCATTTCTAATTTGAACAATCAGATGGTGGGGAGACCAAGGAAGCTTCTTTGTTTGTGGCTTCAGCTGTGCTGGGAGTCAGGGCTCGTCCCACATTTGAGGAATCTTCTTTTTTTAGGCTGGGGCTGTTGCTTGGGAAATGGCTGTATTCTCCCTGCAGGCAGATCGATACATTTCAGCTCACTGCACTGCAAGGAACTTTTCATCATACATTAAGAACGAGGAAAATAAAAGCCAAGATGGATGTTATTTTGGTTTTGCTTTTATTTTGAATTATTTATTAAGAAGTCACTGCTGTCTTCCTTCTCATCGGGAGACAAAATGCCTTTCTCTTTAATGATTCTTTCCTAGTAAAAAAAGAAGCAAGGTCTTCCCAGTTTTATTTCCCTCACTTGCTTCTTGGCACTGAAGTGTAAATATGGGGTCTCCACCACATGGCAAGATCCCAGTGCAGGCAAAGTCCCCACTGATGCTGGAGGAGTCTCACTTCATGGTACATTTCTGACCAGTTTTATAATGTTATAGCAGCTGTTATGTATGCTAGGAGTGGTTGTGGCACATAAGCAGAGGGTTGTAAGTAAACCACAGAATAGCTGAACTATAATTTTAATTATTTACTGAACAGCTAATAGAAATACTAATTCTTTTCAAATGAATTCTTAATAAAATGTGTTATGGGGCAAAAATTCTGCCATTGGCTCCACTATTAATATGAGTTTCTATACTCCAACTAATAATCAATTTTGATGTTTTTGTTCCTAAATCTAGGTTATTCTGAAGGGAAGGATAAAGAAACTGGCCACCAAGATGGTAATCACTAGTGGAAATGAAGAAGATAAAGGCAGTCAAGAAAAGGAAAGCAAAGAAGAAACCATCTTGGCAATGCTTGGAATTATTGGGACAATTCTGAACCTCATTGTGATCATTTTTGTGTATATTTATACAACGTTGTAAACTAGAAGGCATGCAAATAGACCAGATAAAACGGCCATTAAGAGTGACAACAAACATTGCTGACTATTGACAAGTTCTTTAATCAGAATTGACTCTGTATTATATTAACACATCATAAAAGCACTGCCTGAAGGCAGCGAAGACTGAAGCACAATTAATTTAACAAGACTTTTTCACACAGTAATAAGCTTAACTCTTCTTCCTGCCCTCTCCCTTTCGGTTTGGTTTTCAGTTTGGGGGAGAATGACTGCAGTTATATAAGTTGTAGCTTTGAAGAAATCCACCAGGGATATGTTGTTTTAAAACAATTAAAAAAAAAAAAAAAGGAAAAGAAAATAAAATACAAGAAAAGAAAAAAAAAAGGAAAAGAAAGAAACTGTAAACTATATATAATTAGAAATGTATGCTGTATACCCGCAAAGATTGAACTCAAAGATAGCTTCATAGCACAGATCACGTGTCTGTTAGGTCAAATGGTTTTTTCTCTTGGTTTTTGCTTTTACTTACATTGAATCTGACAAGCTTTTTATTTAGAATGAACATATGGTGCAATCATGAAAAAAACAATTCTGTTGAGCAAGGTCTGCCTAAACCTGATAAAATGTTGGGAGAAATACATTACATGGTTATTTTTCCTTTCTCATTTGCTTAACATCTGTGTCTGTTCATACCAATGTTTATAAATATATATTTTTAATAAATGTGCTATATTTTTAGCATGAACCAAATATTTGGAGACACTTGTATTCATGCAGCTAAATTTGGTTTGATTAAGTGCCCCTTTTGACAATGGATGTTATTTTCCTCGGCAATTATACAGCAGTCTTGTTTGCAGCCCTCTCACTGAGGTCTGAAGCAAGCTCACATCATGCTCACATGCATGACTTGAAGTTGGAATGTCAGCTGAAAAGCATTGCTGCTTAATATGGGAAATAGCAAAACATTGTAAGGTGACCTTTGGAGACTGGTTGCAGAAAGAAGGCTCTATTTATAGTTAAAAAAAAGAAAAAGCAAATGAAAGGAACACTGAAGCATCTCAGAAAATATTGCAAAATTCATAGAATTTATGGCTTTCAGTATCTGGTCACGCTCTCTAAGTACTTGTGCTGAGAGAAGTGAGCAGAGGTTTATACAGTTGAAAAGAGAAATTTATAGAGCCTAAAGTGAGGGGCTGAAGTGAAATCCAGATTGTAAATACAGAGTGTATTTTAAATGTGAGGATCATTAACTCTTTATGCTTCTCTGACATGTGCTTTAACTGAGTTGGTGCAGTGAAATTCTCTGACTTGTGTTTTTGACAGGAATGTACAATGATGATAATCACCATTTTTCTTCAGAGTTCAGTACCTATAAATATACAAAGCATTAAAAATATGAGACTTCAATTCTGCCTCAAGCTGCCTAAGTACATTGCCTACTAACTCTGATATATCCTCTTAAAAACCAGGTCAATTAATTGTTTACTGACTTGTGGTTTGGATTGCATCCTCAGATGCACAAGGAGGATTGGTATTGAAGTAAGCTAGAGCTGTGAAAATTTTCACCTTAGAGTCTTATTAATTTTAGTGATCAGACCTGTCCCTCTGGAATCAATAATGACTTTTTCACCATTTTCCAGGGTCTAGGAATGATCTCAAAAATACAGCACTTCAGTGCAGGATATAAAAGAAAGCCTGGAAAATCCTGAGGGGCACCTCTTATAAACAGAGGTGTTTAGTCTCTTATGGTATCATACAGTCAATAACAAAACCATTAAGAGTAGAAAAAAGGTCAGTAAATAAATTACAATGAAATCCAATATGAAGACTGAGGGAAAGCGAAGCAAAAATAATTTCATGTTAATGAAAACATGACAGGGTGAGAGAAGTGAGAAGTGAGCAGAGATTGGAAGTAGAAAACAGCACAGAAAGCCAGTGCCATGTATGCCAGCATGGCTGAGGAAACATTTGTGTTTGCACAGTGCTGGTAGAGCTGCAGCTCTCAGGGAGGACAAGAAACAGTAGTGGTGCAGGACAGTGTAGCTCAGTGAAGGTGATCTTGTTTTTTTTAATTTATACCTATTTATTGATAATTCTAAGGAATCAGCAAACTCTACTTTTTGATCATCCAGATGGCTAAAATATATTTCAGTCCACTAGGCATTTTTTTCTTCTGTTTAAGCTACTGCTGCTCACAGCCTGTGGCTCTGAGCACCTGCACATGCTCCAGGCACCAGTGGAACTTCAGCCAGCCCCTTGCCTGCCAGGATCTTCTCTGCAGATGTTTCTCTTGAACTGCTCCTTTTCCAGCAAACACCACAGCAATCTGCCCAAGGCTCATGCCCATCTTCTAGAGGGGCATCCTCTGAGTCAAAAGTCTCATGCCAGATATGTCTTTGCCTCCCTCTGCCTCAAATGGTAGTGTATCTTCTTAGGGGCAGGAAGATGCTTAATGAATGACATTTCATCAGGGGTTCTACTGTTACTACAAATTAAATTGGAAAACAGCATAGGACACCTCACCCACTGAAGCAAAGTGGGAGCTTTTGCTGCTCAGCACAGTTGCACTTATTCAGACCTGGGCCAGCACCTCCAGCAAGTCAGGTATGGCAAATAGCCCAAATGAGCTGAAATGGTGGATCAAGGGCCCAAGGATTCCATGCTTTCTCTGCTCTGCTTTGCCTGTTAGTCCTGATGGAGGCAGTTTGTCCAGGTGCACGATCAACCCTCACCAGCAGCAGCTGTGTGCAGTGTGCTTTGCCACAGGAACTTCTATTCCTCTGGAAGAGGAAGAAAGGTTTATCCCATTCCATAAAAAGTTTAACATTTAATATTTTAATTTTACAGGTTTCTGTTCACAGATAGTTCTAGAAATATCCCGGGGCAATTTCTTCTTAAGTATATTCATTAAGTATTCATTTAAATAAAAGTGAAGAGTTTCCTTTGAGAGCAATTTCTTTACCTTTTATTTGGTATTCATGAACAGTGATAGGGGAAAAGTATGTTTTCAAGAATGACAGTGGAAGAGGAATATGTTATACAAGGATCTGAAGGTGTGCCTAACCAGGCAGCTGTGGGCAGGCCTGCTCTTGGCTCAGTGACAGCTGGAGCCAAATTACCCTCATGCTTTTTTTATGTGAGCAGTTTTCAGCATGCACCTATAAGAAATATTCGACTAGGTAATATAAATGTCATGGATACCTTATAGTCAGCAACTGCTCTATAAACAGTTGAATAAAACTTCTCATTACAAGAGTTGAATGGTAAATCTGCTTTGGCAAGGAAAAATCCAACAGTCTCATTTTTGGCTTGACTTGTATGTAATGCAAACAGTTTCCAAAGTAAATTTTACAAAATGAAGTATTAGTCCATTAGTGACAGGATCCTTCATCTTTGCATTTGAGTAGAAGGAAATTATATCCAATATCATAATAAGATATTAAAGCATCACCTTTTGCTTCAGGCAACTAAGAATATGATTATCCTATGTAGTTTGATGGTCTCTGTCATGGGAATGAAAAATATTTTCATGAGGTGACAGAAAGATGACACTGTCCCCATTATTATCTGTTGTGTTGGCTGGTGGATAAGAAGACTTTCAAGAAGGGAGAAGATAAAACTGTTTATTATGCACACAACAGGATTAGGAGAAAGAAAACAGACAGATTACTGCCCTCCAATCTGGTTCCTACAACTGCATTGAAAACTCAACATCTTGGGAACCACATCTTTAGACAGGAATGTATCATCCTGTGTGTTGGCTCTCAGGGCAGTCCTTTCAGTTCTGTACCTTCTGCTCCTTCCACCTGCACTCTGCAGCAGTGTGGCTCATTGTGCCTGAGGAGAGCTTGAACACAAACCCAGCCTGGCAGCCTCTGGAAGCTTTTGTTGTTTTGTTTTACTGAGGTGTAATAATCTGCTATGGGCCTGAGTTTTATTATTTTAAGGACAGTCAATCATCATCAATGTTACTGTCTGATAATCCAGGGGATACCTCACTCTGTGAATGCCCAGATAAATCACACCTCTGGCCTACAGGTAAAATTTTGATTCAGTAGGCATCAAAATACAAAAGAAAGCTTCAATTACATCACAACCAAACTTCAAGCATTGCTCAATGTGTCTTATACTTCCATTTATCTGTACACTGGAGCTCACCCCAAATGCCCCAAGATCTCATCTGTGTCAAGAGGTCTCATCTCTTCTGAGTCAGAATTACCATTTCTGTGTGAATTATGGCATATGCAGAGAACTTGGCCCATAGAGGGAAAGGATAAACATTAACTGAATTAGAACTACAGGGAGGCAGCACAGCAGAATTTACTAATTAGTTTGAGGTCTAGCTGGAGTACTTTGTTTCTGGATAGCCAATATTTTGGAGAAAAAATATTATTGTTCCTTGGAAAGTTTGTGGAAGAAATATGCCTAATTGAAAGAAAGAACCTCATTGAAAATATTTCAGCAGCAGTCCTCCAAAATAAACACTGACCAGGACTCTGAGTATCTTGCTTCCCAAGAGAACTGTTTGGCAGCCCAGGAACACAGTGCACATAAATGTAAGCACCTCTTGTTTACTGAGAGGCTTTGTCTTCTGTGGAACAGAATGCACAGATTTACAAAGAATTACAAATTTATGAAATAGCACATAACGCAACATCAACAACAAAAAATCTGTTTACCTTTATTTCCAGCAGATGTGCTGCAGACACCCTGCAGAACCTGCACTGCTTCCATGCCTGGCTGTGTGTTTTGGAGGCTCATCCCAGAAGATCTTATAAACTCACTGTAGCTTTCTTTCCCCACCACTGATCCAAGAGAAACAAAACCTATTATTCAGTGTGGAAACCTCCACACCAGACTGAAATCCCACATGCTTCCCTATGCATTTATCTGCATATGAACCATCTGGTGTCCAATAAGACTTTCCTTGTCTCAGGCATTAGGTTTGCTTATCTGCATTTCACCTGGGAGCTCAGGCTGTGAAAGGCAATTTGTAGAGCTGAAAGCACCCAACTGTTTCCAATGATCCAGCTGTCCATAATGGAGCTGTCACCTGGAGAGTGCCTGCTCACGTGCACAGCACACCACACACCATCCTCCTGGTGTGGTCTCACACTGACACAGCCTCTGTGACACCCAGGGCGTGGGGCTGGGCTGCAAATGGCCCACACAGCCAAAAAGTGTTCTGTGCAGAAGCCTAGATCCCAAGTCAAGCTCTGTAGAGTGAAAGAACATCCTGCCTTGGTGATGGAAAGGCACTTTGCTATCCCCACTGGGACCCCTTCTTCTGCAACCAGTCCCAGTTCAGCTGAAGGTGACCCATGCACCACCCTGAGCCTCTTGTGGCAGCTGCAGAACCCTTTAGCCCTGAGGGAAGTTAACAGCTCTGGACATTCCCAATCTCCTAGAATAAGGAACCATGTCACTCTTGCATGGCAGAAGCATGAGTGAAGCATCCATTTCTGGCTGACAATGACAAGGCCACCTGCCTAGGGCACTGATGGGAACCCTTTTCCCACCCATCATTCCTTGCAGTCTGGCAAATGCAAGTTCATTTCCTGCACTCCAGGTTCTTCTCCCTAGACTCAGTCCCCATTCAGACTGAGGCAGACTTCTTTTATGATGCTGAGACTTTGTTAAACTCAAATGGCTCCCAAAGCCAAGTCTTCAGGAACATATTAAATGTCATGATACTTTCATTTGGCCTTGATATCATGAAGCTGTCACCATAACAAGCCTTGGGTGTTGTCAGTCTCTGCCATCAAGTTGTTAAGGGACAAGCATCAGCAAGGGACACCATGTGGGAGCCATGGGCAGCCAGAGGTTAATGCACTGTGGCTGCTTTCCCCAACACTTCCCTTCTTGAGGAGCAGTGGTATTGTGGTGGATTGATATTGGTGGTGGGTAAATGTAATAAAATGTTTGTGCAGCAGGGCGTGATTTCTCACCTTTATTTCCTGAAAACTTGATGGGAAAGTCTTTATAAATAATTCTGGCTTTGTCAATTGAAAATATGGATTAAAATTTACTATATATGTTTTCAAATTTTAATGTGCTGCTTCTTTTTCCCCCCCTACCAAAGAATTCAATTTTAGTTTTGCAGATGCTATTCTTGTTTCTGTAATAATGATGGCTAATGCAAAAGCATTGGTACTGGATGCCAAAGAAAGGAATGAAGATTATATTGTCAGTGTTAAATTATTCCATACTTGTGAGCAGGAAAAGCTAGTCAGTGGTTTTCTTAGCATCCAGTGCCATAGCAGTATTTTTATAATTTGATACCATTATTTCTGGAGTTCTGTGGGACAAAGTTCCATCATTTAGAGCAGGGCATATTCAAACAAATGTCAGCAAACTGAGAAGTATTTAAAATGTTTGCATTAGCTAAAAGAAAAACATGTCAGACATATACATTTTGAGCAGATTCAAACTCAAAGTGAGACCACAAAACTATCATTCTTATACCCCTGCTGACATTGTATAATACACACCAGGACATCATTTAGAAGCTCACTCTGCTGGGACTATTCATGTACATAACTCAGATTAAGGGGCTAAGTTCCTTTACAGTTAATATCAATATGAATATGTATTTGCAGGTTTGGGGCATTAGTTGATAGTTAGCTGACAATTCAGCTGTAGCAAAGATACAGCTGATCAGACAGGGAAAAATAAGAAATTTCCTGTACAATGAGCTGTTTCTCTTTGTCTCATTGACCTTATTTTTAGCTGATATTTTTCAGGCTGTGTGATTGATGAGAATGAGGCTAAAGCCTTCCTAACCAATGAAAGAATTAACACCATAGAAGAATATGAAATCTACATTTTCCAGCAGAAATTAAGCATTTCCCTAAATGGCTTTAAAAAAATCTCAGTGCTGAAAGTTTTACATTTTCCTTTCTATTTCACCATCAGCCAACACACTATTTCTATTTGATTGTATAATAATATTTATGTACAGTTTCACTGAGCTGTGCAAACACCAGCAAATGGATTTTGCATCCTTTGTTGCTTTTTAAGTTTTATAAGCCTCTTTCCAGTACATACCCATCTCCTGTTTTAAAGATCACACGGAGAAATATATCACATCCAAAAGTACCATTCAATTATGCAAACCTCACTACAAGTTTAGATTGAAAGTATATGACCATTTACACAAAACAGGGGTGTTATTTCTTGAGACTGTTCATATGGCCCAAGAGACCCTGACATGGTGCTACATACAATATTAGATTATTTTGGTTTTAGAAAAAAAAAAAAAAGAGTCCAGTTGTGAAACTCCTTGAAACAGTGCATTGCAGTGTATTTGCAATTTACAGAGCAAGGCAAAAAATCTGATGACCACAGGCAGTGCTCAGCTCCTGGCTGACCTTCTCCCATGGGGCAGCAGCCCTTGGTGTACTCTGACAGACCAAGTGTTCAGCACCCTCTACACTTGATGAAAGGCAGTAATAGTCAAGTCATTAACATCCCAAAATTTGAAATGTCACCATTTTCTGTCTGGTTTCATTGGTGCAGAGAAAAAAAAACACCACCAAGCACCAGCCAAACATAAAACAGAAAAGCAGATTTCTTAAAGTGTTCCTGAATGTCTCTCCTCAAAATACATTTTTTTAGAGAAGTGGCTCTCAGGAGCTGTGAGGGGCCCTTGGCAGCACCTGGTGCCATCCTCATCCCCAGAATTCACCACTGCTTTGACTCAAGTGGCCAAAAAGGCATCTTCCAAAATGGGGCCATGCCAGTTCCCCAGAGGATTGTGTCATGCTGCAATCCCTTACTCTCCATATTTTCCTGTATGTGCACTTTCCAACAGAACAGAACAGAATAGAATAGAATAGAATAGAATAGAATAGAATAGAATAGAATAGAATACTTTAGTTGGAAGGGACCTACATCAACCATCTGCACTGTCCAAAAGCAAGAACACATTAATAAGGGCACTCTCCAAATGCCTCTTAAATACTGACAGGTTTGGGATATCAAGCACCTCTCTAGGAAGCCTATTGCAGACCTATTCCAGACCACACTCTTGGTAAAGAAATGTTTCCTAATGCCATCTCTGGACATCTTTCCCAGACCATATATCACTGTGTCCCAGGGAGAAATGCTTAGTGCCTTCCTCTCTACTTTCCCCCCTCAGGAAGCTGTAGAGAACAATGAGATCCTCTCTCAGCTTCCTTTTCTAGAAACTAGACAGTCACAAAAAAATCCTTATCCAGTCCGAACAGGAGCTGCCTCCCTTCTTGGTAGAACTTGTAAAGGGAGCAATTTTCTGTATCTGTATTCCTCAGACTCCTGTCACCTCCATGTGACGGGGTGGGTGGGAGGACCACAGATGAAGGCCTGGGTATCCAGCTGAGAATCTTCTCTAAAATTTGACTCTGTTTGGTTTAAAATTCTCAGATTGTTTAAGGATAATTTTTAAGTGTAGCTCAGCTTTTAAGAGTCACTCATATGAGTCTTACTTGAGCTGAGAGCACTTCCATGGCATGGTGGTGTAAGAATTGCAGTGATGGCATGTTTCATCCACAGTGCCTGGAGTGCTCACAAATTCTTCATGGAGTTGTTGGGATGTTCCCATAATCTCAGAGACTAAATCAGATAAAAAACTAACAATCATAATAGAATCATAGAGTGGTTTGGGTTGCAAAGTGATTTCATTCCAGCTCCCCCTGCCATGGGCAGGGACACTTTAACTAGACCAGGTTGCTCAGAGCCCCATCCAACCTGGCCTTGAGCCTTTCCAGGAATGGATCACCCACAGCCTCTCTGGGCAGCTTGTTCCAGTTCTTTACCACTCTCACAGTAAAGAATTCCTTCCTATCTGATCTAAAACTTGCCCTTTTTCAGTTTTCAGTGGAGGCACTTAGCTCCCCAGTCCCCACCCTGCTGTCCATCCACTCCAGAGGTGTGGGAAGAGAGGTTGCCATTGAATATTGAGGGCAAAAAGTTGTTAAGTATCTCAGCCTTCTCCTCATCCAGCATGGCTTATCAGGAGGATGACACCTTATTTGACTTTCATTAGTAGAGGTTAATAATTTGAATTGATTCAAACATTGTTGCTTGTCTGAAAATAAAGGGTCTTTACAAAATTAGTGGCAAAAGTAGAATGATGCCATGAAACCTGAAGAGGATAATGATCTCATGCTATTAAAATACCACAATTAATACCAGCTGAAACCCACTTTTAGTTCTGAGACATCTCTACAATTGTCAAATGAGCTCAAAAATTTTGAATAACTTTTTGTCATTTTGCAGAATAAAGTGAAAGGTCTGAAAACAGTGATCCTTGTGCTCCAATTCCACTGCCTGCAAACTAAATAAAGAAATCAATATGCATGCAGAGTGTTCCTCCATTAGTCCATGCTTGGTTTCCAGAAGGATGTACTGAAGTGTGGCTTGACAGTAAGACAGAATCTGACTAGTACTTTCCAATATCCTTTCAGATCAGTAAGTTTTTATTTATAGCCTTGTCCCCCGTGCAGAGGATGGATACTTTTCTTTCAACCAGCTGGTTTCCTCCTTCTGTGTGTCTTTTTACTCATCAAGTCCTGTGTGATTACATTGTTGGTATGTCATTGCTGAGAAGTAGTTTTAACAAAAGAAATTAAATAGTTAAATAGTCCAGTTTTAAAAATGAAACACATCTGTTTGTATCAATCAATTCAAGCTCCACAGACCAAAATGCATAGAATCCTATAAGAAAAAAATACTTTTTAGAAGCCATAATTTCCAGAGGAGTGGTAGAAGCAGAAGGATATACAGGATATATCCAAAGGCTCTTTGAAAACTACCTTGAAAATTATAACTTTATTATGTAAAAGTTAAATATATTAGTTCAATTCAGTGTCTCTTCTTTGGTAAGATCATTTTCATTACATTCACATACACACAGGGTGGTGTTTCCCAGCTGTCAGTCCAACCTTTGTTGAAGTTACATGACTGGAGCTGAAGGCACATTCTAGCTACCAGGTCTGAATCCAGCAGAGCATTTATATTCATAATCCTGTCCAAGAAAGTGCATGGTCCTGTTGGCTTTCTGGGCTGCCCATAAGCCTGAAAGTCAGGATGTGCTTAAGTGCTTCACTGGAGCAGGGCAGTGTCCTGCAGCTGCACTGAAACACTCAGTCCATTTTGCTTTTTAGGGAGGTTATTACTGCTTGAAAGAGGTATTTCTCTGAAATAGAAGGGAAAAAATGTCCCAGAGCACTCATTCATTTCCCTCTCAGTCCCTTTTCTCCTTTCTGCAACTCCCTTCTTGTTTCCTGGCTCATAACATCAGCCTTGTCCATTCCTCACAAAACATTGTAGCTAAACATTCTTGCTTAAATGGCTAGCTCTCTCTGCTTTATAGCCTCAGATTTAAATTGAGAACCTCTTCCTTGCCCAAGGCTCTGTTTTGTCTTCTGATCCCATTTCAGCCACCAATGTCACCAGCTGTGCTGAGCATCATCATTGCCCACAGCAGAACAGCTGTGGGCTGTTCCTGCTGCATACCTGCCATGCTTTGCCTGTCCTACCAGCTCTGCTCCTTCCCTCATTTAAAGCCTGCCAGAAATACATCACCACCACACAGAGATAACACAGCTACCCCTCAGCAGAGCTTTTGTGGCTGGGAGCAAAAAAGGCTGGTGAGTGAGACCCAGTACCAGGGCAGCTGCAGAGAGGCATCTGCAGGGGGATTTAAGCTACCAGAACTCCTTGGACTGAAGTGCAACCATCAGAGCCTGTGGTGAAGCACTTGGAGCCACAAAGGAAGATCACTGTACAGGAATCTGCATGCTGCAGTCAGTGCTGCATCGCAAAGGCATCTAAAATTCCTTCCTTACACACTTTGGTTAATAGAGAAAGAGCTGAGGGGTGGAGATGTCAGAGTCTCTTGTAATGAGGCCTCTGAGGTTTTTGATAAAGCTGCTTAAAAAAAAAATCAGTTTATTGTCTGGTACAATCCCATTCTTCCTGCAGTGCTAGTCTTACAGAACTAGTGATGGGCTCAAGCTGACTCCATGCTCACAAGGTCACAGCTAATCGAACTGAACCTTTGC